GAGAAAATCACGAAAAACTGTAAAAACTGAATAAAAAACGAAAAAGCAATGTTCTTCAGCTTATAACAGGTGACTCGATGAAACTACAAGGATGCATGTAGGCGCGTTGGAAAGGTGAGATATTCAGCTTTCATATGAGTGGTCGATGATGTAATTACCGTTAGGGGTTGTCGAGAAATTCACTAATAACAGGAAACCTCAGAAAACATTTTACCCCTTAAATATATATAACTCAATATAATACTATAAATAATTGTAAATTAAATCAAATACATTCAAATTCATTAATCTATATACTAATTTAATGTTTTCCGTGATAATCTTATGATCTTATTCATTATATACTTATTAATTATCAGCAACTAACATGAATATATAGTTGTCTATATCAAGGGGGAAAAAGATTTTAAACTTTGTCATCGTTGGTTCCATCTACCGGATCTTTTTGAAAGAGTATAGTTCAGCAGTTTCTGCGCTGTTCAAAAGTGACGTCATTTTAATATGCACACAAGGCTTTGATTGCCTACGTAAATAATCTTATTAATAATATTTAATTGAAAACTAATTTAATAATTAACATCTTAAAAATTTTAAATGGAAATACGAAGTGTTTTGCAAATAATTTATCTGCACATTTGGTTGCCAATCTTGAACTTCAGCTAACTCGTAATATTACTATAAGCAAGTATAAGTAACAGATTTGTTGTCATTTAAAAAGGTTATGTTTATCTTTTTAATGTCTACCTAGATTTGTATAGTTTAATTGGTACTAAATAGAAACGAAATGGACGACGAGGAGAATGGCGATGATTTTAAGAAGCCAGTGTTTGTAGCAAAAGCTGCTAGGAAAACTATACAACTTGAAGCTGAAAATGTGGAGGAAAAAACGTCTCCAGAGGATGCAAAGAAATTGGAGCAGAGCTACAAAGAGCCCTCATGGTCAGGTTTACCAAGTGGTCAATACAATTTCGAAGTTCTCAAGAACGGTTCCATAATTAATTCCATTGATCTGACTGAAAAACCATACTGGGTATTTGGAAGATTACCCACTTGTGATATTTCCATGGCCCACCCTACTGTATCAAGGTAAGAAAATCAATCAAACTGCAAGATGATCATCAGAAGAAGAAGAAGAAATGTATTTTATTTTTGTAAATATATTTTCAGGCATCATGCAATTTTGCAGTACAGGGAAAAAGTGGAAGGTGATGAAGAGAAAGGTTTTTACCTCTATGATTTAACAAGCACACATGGGACTTTCTTAAATAAAGTGCAGATAAAACCAAGAGTGTATGTGAGAGTTAAGGTAAGCGATAGATTCCTTTGCTGATGTTCTCCAGTGTTTTGATTGACTTATCCAGGGTCAGCTCTGAACCTGAAGTGCTCTGGCTCAAATTCTTCAGTCTTCCCTCCAAATCACTCAATTGCCTTTTAACTAATCTCATCTCTTCTTCCAATTCCTCATCAGTTTTGTGCCCAAACTGTGCATAGTCAATGCCCTGCTCCTTCTTCAATTTCTCCCTCTCAAATGCAAAGCTGATATTGTCCAAATCCTTCTTGGCCTTCTGCAAGTAACTGCTGCTCTGGTCCAGGCGTTCCTTTAACGTTTTAAAATACTGTTCCGTTCTCTCCTCCCTCTCCTTCGATTCCTTTCGCATCTGCGATGATTTCTGCACTAACTCTCTGATTCTTTCAAAGTTTAGCTCTGCATCGTCGTTGGCCTCGCACAGTAGTTCTTTTAGATCGCCCATAATATAGTTATTGTAGAATGTTCGTACAGCAATTCGCGAAAGTCGACGACAGATTAGTTTCTTGTTTGGTTGCTATAGAGATGGCTTGTTTCCAGGTTGGTCACATCATCAAGTTAGGTTGCAGCACGCGCAACTACATACTCGGAGGACCGGACGACGATGCTGAAGAAGTCTCTGAATTCAGTGTTACCCAGCTGAAACAGAAGAGATTGGAGGAACTGGTGAATAGGCAAAAGGAAGCTGAACTGAAAACGAAAAAGGAAGAGGTTAAGGGAGTTGATTGGGGAATGGGCGAGGATGCGGAGGAGGAAGACGAACTCATGGAAAATCCATTTGCGCAAACCAACAACGAGGAATTGTACCTTGATGATCCCAAAAAGACGCTAAGAGGTTTTATGGATAGGGAAGGACATTCATTTGAATACGACTGCACCGAACAAGGAGTTGGACAATTTTTGTGCAAAGTCGTGTTGCCCTTGGACGATCCCAGGGGAAGACCAATTGTCGCTGAAGTTCTGCACAAGGGCAAAAAGAAGGAGGCAGTCGTGCAATGCGCTTTGGAGGCGTGTCGCATCCTGGACAGACACGGAGTTCTCCGACAAGCCACTCACGAGTCGCGAAAACGCAAATCCAAAAATTGGGAGGAGAACGATTTCTACGATAGCGATGACGATACGTTCTTGGATCGAACAGGAACTGTCGAAAAGAAACGCGAAAATCGCATGAAAGCAAAACTCCCACAAAAGATCGAAACCTATGAATCTTTGATAGAAAAAGAGGCGAGCATGTCGAGGCGTATCAAAGAAATCGAAACCGAGTTGGAAGTAGTCCGAAATGCTGGCAAGGCTAAACAACAGTATGAAGATGAAGACTCCTTGGATTCCTTCATGAAAACGTTGAAGACTCCCCAAGTGGATAAACAAAAGATAAGCAAATTGAAGGCGGATTTATTGAGGCTGAAGCAGGATCATGCCGCGGTTGTGAAACTGGCGAATCTGGCAAAACCTGCTGATATGCCGGCCCTGAAACCACAAACCTCAATGAAAATGCCCATGTTCGGGAAGAGAACCAAACTCGCAAAACTCAGCGTACCAGCACCAGTACCAGTAAGTGATACTGTTGAAACCGATGAAATCGAAGAGGAAGCGATTGAAATTAAATCCGAAGAAAAGGAAATGAATTCAAAGGATTTAAAGTCGGACGAAGGCGAAACGAAAATAGCAGAAACTAAAACAAAACCAATAATAAAACAAACTGAAGATGCAGTTGCAGTTATTGAAAATAAGAACCAGGTAAATGAGGTTAATGAACCTAACGAAATAGAGAAGAATTCTGAAGATGTAAAGAAAGAGGAGGAGAAACGGAAAAAGAAAAATATGAGAAGAATACAGCAGAGAGCCGAAAAGATGGAAGTGGAAAAGGTGAAGGGCTACGAGGCGGATTTCAGCAAGGAGGATTACAACATGTGGGTACCGCCGCAAAATCAAACGGGCGACGGGAGGACGAGTTTAAACGAAAAATTCGGTTACTGAGATTTATTCCAATTTCTTCCATTCCGGGTTCGCGTGTATTAGAACCTTGATGGACTTGGACTTTGGATCCATCGCAGCACCGAACGCATCCAAAGTTTGCTCCATTGCGAATTCGTGCGTGATCAACGGCTTCACATCGATCTTTCCGCTGGACACCATCGCCAACGCCGTTTCGTAACTGTAAAATTTGTATTTTGTAAAATAAAGGATTTTGTTAATCCTCGTTTGTCTTACTCGTTGACGTATCTGAATACGCCCTTGATATCGACCTCGCGGATCAAAGCGCTGGCCAATGGAAGAGTCATCTCCGCTTTACCCATACCAATGAGAACAGCGCATCCACCGGATTTAGTAGCTTGAATTGCGATGCGGACACTTTGCTCCGCCCCACTGCATTCCATACTCACGTCCGGTTCGCAACCTAAGATTTGGACAACTTTCTCGATGATGGTTTTCTCATCGAAGTTCTTGTCTACGAGGAGCGTATGATGAGCTCCTAACTTTTTAGCTATTTCCAAACGATTCTCCACGATATCTGTAACATTTCGAGCATACTATAAATGCTCTTTTTAACTAATATAACTGAATTAACCTATGATAATCACATTGGTAGCTCCGAAAGCTTTAGCTGCGAGCAAAGTTACCAAACCGATAGGCCCCGCCCCTAAGATCAACACCTTCGATCCGCAAGTGACCTGCCCCCTTTTGCAAGCGTGCACGCCCACCGACAACGGTTCCAGAATAGCTCCTTCCTCGAAACTGACGTGATTAGGTAACTTGTAGCAAAAATCTGCTGCGTGAGCGTAAAATCGTGTCAAGTTTCCATCGTAAGGAGGCGTGGCGCAAAAGGCCATCTTCAAGCAGAGATTGTATCTGCCCTCCTTGCAGTAATTGCACATTCGGCAACATTCGCCCGGTTCGATGGCCACACGATCTCCTACTTTCAAGTGGGTCACATCCTTGCCCACTTTTACCACTGTCCCTGAAGCCTCGTGACCAATAACCATCGGTTGTTTAACAACGAAATGACCAATGCGACCTTGCTTCAGGTAATGCACATCAGATCCGCAGATTCCAACCACTTCCATCTGCAGAAGCACCTCTAAAACATATTCAAAGTCCATACTGATACTAAATAATCAATATAAAGTCTTACGGTTTCCATTTGGCGTTGGAACTGGACGTTGTTCCTAGAATTCAATTAGATTATTCCTTCATTCACGTTAGTAAATTATGGTTTACCAGACGCAAATCGTCGATTCCGTAAAGCACTGCTGTTAAATTATCACCAGCCATATTCGAGAATTTTCTAAGAAGCAAAGTTTGATGTAAGACTACTCCAACAGCTGCAACAACAACAACAAGTTTATCGAATTGAACTTTGAACATACATTTTTTTATTTAATAAATACTCTTAAGCGAAAATTTCAACATAATTGAAAACATTTTTTTAAATAATGATTGTTGGTGACATTAAAGTATTTTTTAAATAAAATTTGTCAACTATGACTTAATTATTGTTAAATAACGTAAATTTAAGCGAGAAATTTAAAAAAAATCACGTGGGATATGCAACCAATCAAACGATGAAATTTAAAATTTATATGCAACCGCCGTTTGTTATAAACATTGGAGATAAAAAGTTATGTAATTCATGACCGCCAAGGTCAAACATAATCGTTAGCTATTGAGCAATACAATACTTTCCAAGTGGTCAGCGTTTTTGGGTCAAAAACCTCGTCCTTTCACTTCGTCACGCTCCAATTTCAGTTTCGTTTGTCCCAGATAAATTTATTTTTTTTCTGCGATTAAAGAACGCGCGCATTTACGATATTCGAAGAGATAGAAAAATAGAAAAAAAAAAGCGCAATGTCTCAACAACCGAAGTGCAAGAAGCAGAAAATGGCGAGCGCTCTGGAGCAGTTGAAAAATGTTACCACCGTTGTGGCTGACACCGGCGACTTTGAGGGTAAGTAAGCAACGGAATGGAGTAATTATATGAACAACATACATACATACATTAGTTGAGGTTGCCAAATAATAGCTTAATTATGTTGTCCTTATAATCGATAGTATGCGATATTCCAGAACGTGGTTTCTGGATATTCATATGCAACTAGTTTCACCTGTGCATTTTTACGGTTGCAGCTATGAAAGTTTACAAACCGACTGATGCCACAACCAACCCATCACTGATCTTGGCTGCTGCCAATTTACCCCAATACAAGCCCTTGATTGAGAAGGCTATCAATTATGGCAAGAAGATTGGAGGTAACATGGACGAAGAGGTGGAGGCTACCATGGATATGCTGTGTGTTTTATTTGGGTGTGAAATCCTGAAGGTTGTACCAGGCAGGGTATCCACTGAGGTTGATGCAAGGCTTTCCTTTGATAAAGAAGGTAGCGTCGCTAAGGCCAAGAAGATCATCCAACTGTATGAGGATGAAGGCATCAAGAAGGAGAGGATCCTGATCAAACTCGCGTCCACGTGGGAAGGAATTGAAGCCGCCAAAGAACTGGAATCCAAACACGGAATCCACTGCAATTTAACACTGCTCTTCTCCTTCGCTCAAGCTGTAGCTTGCGCTGAAGCCGGCGTCACCCTAATCTCGCCTTTCGTTGGCAGAATCTTGGATTGGTATGTCGCCAATACCGATAAGAAAACATACAAGGGAGAGGAGGATCCAGGCGTTGTTTCGGTTACGAAGATTTACAAATATTATAAGAAGTTCGGTTACAAGACCGTCGTCATGGGCGCTTCTTTCAGAAATATTGGTAAAAAGATGATAAATTAATAATGTGTGTTAAATTATAATATTTGTTGTTTTGCAGAGGAAATCAAGGCTTTGGCTGGATGCGATTTGCTTACCATCAGCCCGAAACTTCTGGGTGAATTGGAAAAGTGCGGAGATCAATTGGAAACCAAATTGAGCAAAGAGGACGCAGCCAATTGTACCTTGCAAAAGCTGGACATGACTGAACAGAAATTCAGGTGGATGCTGAACGAAGATAAGATGGCAACCGAGAAGTTGTCGGATGGAATTCGCAACTTCGCCGCAGATTGCATTAAATTGGAGAACATCATCAAAGGATTAATGAAGTAACAATCGTAACATTCCATTTTATATTATAATAAAAATCACAAAAATAACCGCCCTCATACTAGAATTTGATTTTTAACTGACGTGTCTACGTCCTAGTTCTGCGGATTTAGTAGCCGCACATTCTATAGCGTCCATTATTGCCGCCCTGTAATAAAACGAATCAAAACGGACGTATTTCAACAATTATATATATAAAGATTGTTTACCTCACTCCGCCCTTTTCAAGCGCATGAACACCTGTGATTGTAGTACCACCAGGTGAACAGACTTCGTCCTTTAACGCCCCGGTGTGTTTTCCGCTCTCGAGCACCATCTTGGCTGCTCCGAGCATGGTTTGTGCAGCGAATTGTGTTGCCATCGCTCGTGGAATTCCCATTTTAACGCCTCCGTCAGACATCGCCTCGATCATTAAATATGCCTAATAAAGAATATAATAGTTGTAATAGGATTCTATTGCAACGCGCACGATAACTTACAAAAGCAGGACCGCTACCAGCCAAAGCTCCGATAGCGTCGATCATGCTTTCAGGTACCATGTAGCAAATTCCAAGAGCCTCCAGAATGGTTCTAACTATTTTAACATCATTCTCCGTTGCTCCCTCTCCAGGGCAATAGACGGTGCAACCCTCGCCCACCATCATCGGCGTATTCGGCATGGTTCGAATGATGCGGCAAGAGTCGAAGCTCCTGAAAAGCTAAAACATTAGCATTAGTTTCGATTGAAGCGCATCTATTAGAGAGAAAACACAAAAAAACAAAACTAGTATAACACGCACATTTTCCAACGCCTCCAGTTTGATGCCAGCTATGATGCTGACGAACAACTTGCTTCGTATCTTGTGTCTACTGTTCATGCAGATATTCGCCATCGCTTCAGGCAAGATGTGCGGTTTGACCGACAAGAAGATCACATCGCAGATCTCGCAGACGGTGCCGTTGTCCGTGTAAACGTTAGCGCCCTGCGACTGCCAGGACTCTAAGCTATGCATGCGCGGCCCCGAGACGTAGATCTGCGAGTACGACAGCAAACCTTCGGCATAAATTTAAATAATTAATGCTAATTGAAAGAATTAAAGACGCAATTGGACACACCTTTCTTGACGATGCCTCCCGCTATAGCCTTTGCCATATTACCGCCGCCGATAAAGCCGATCTTCAGCTCCTCGAACCGTTTGGTTCCTTCCGAAGTCATCTTCGAAATTCAAAAATTAAATACCTTCAACGACCTAACGACAAGCAGCTTTTCAAAAACAGGTTAAGTAATTATATTACCACTTGACACTGACAGACGGGACTGCCAATGTCACATATAACATTGGTTGGCATCATTGAAATTGGAAAATTTTAAATATTTTTGAACTCTTTAAATTATTTACAACTTTCAACAGCAAAATTAGTTACATTGAATTACATTAAACTCGATTTGAAACTGTCCCAATTAAGATTTCATCTTTATTATTACAAGATTTATTGGCGATTCAGTTCTTTGGTTATGATTGTTATACAATTGACAGTGAAATAATCAGCTTCAGGAAAAATGTTGAAGTTAATGAAAAGACCTCATCTAATATTAAGGTAAATTAATATGTTATAAACAAGTAATGGTCTGCAAAGTTTTTTTTAGTTGTAGGACGTTTTATGTAACGCCTAAAAATAATTGTGAAGATGAGCCAATTGAGAGGCTCTCCTGTGTTGAAGAGAAGATAGGTTTCATAGGGGATGGAAATATGGCTAAAGCTATTTTCAAGGGAATTGTGAATAAATGTACGACTTTTAAGAAATTGTCTAACAAATGCCTAATCAATGTCTTTCTATAGGTCTGATACAGCCTAATCAAGTAAATGTTTCAAGTCCCTACATTAAAAATTTGGATGTATGGAAAGAGATGGGTGCTTGTGTGAGCACTGACAACGCAGAGATTATGGAAATATCAGATGTTGTATTTCTTGCTGTGAAACCTCACATATTACCAGAAGCTATAAAGAATATAGAGAAGAGTCCACATGCAGCTAATATCAAGAACAAACTGTTTTTATCCATATTGGCTGGTTATAAGATATCTAAATTAGAGAAGGTGTTTTGTTTTTAATACATCTATTTTTTTCTTCTTCTAAATTATTTACAATTATTCTTATTTGATAGATGTTGTCCTGTTTCGAGGGGGCGCGCGTCGTGCGCTTAATGCCTAACACCCCGATGATGGTTGGTGCTGGTTGCACGGCATTCTGTCCAGGTCACGGAGTCACTGAGCACGATTTGATGATAGTCAGAGCTATACTGGAA